TTTTTCAGTCTTGCAAAAAAACACAGTGGCTTAATAAGTCATTCAATAAAGCTGTCCAGTTAAACTTTTTTATTGCCAACGCAGACCTCAAACAGCGAGGGGGGGGCGAAGGGGAGACAAATGCAAGTTGCAGATTTTCGCTGTTTTTGTTTTCCAGCGGCGCGTCTGGTCCTAAAGGTTTTGAAGTTGCTCGTCCAGTGGTCTCGGTTTGTTGTGGCTGAGGAGCTGAGGGTTGTGTCTTCCAGCCAAGGTCCCCATGGGTATCTGTGTCTGCAGACTTCCTCTAATCTTCCATCGGGGCTAAAAGGAAGCCCTCAGGTTGCACATGTTGCCATAATTCATCCAAGGCCGAGAAATCTGTGGCCCTAAAGAAGCCACAGTGGCAAAGCTGGTTAGCGCTGCGTTCCTCGACGTAACGGGCTTTCTGTTTGGTTTGACCCAAATCACCAAATAAACGGAATGCTGATCATTCCACAGAGAGTGTTTGAAAGCCGAAGCCCTCGTTCGTCTTACGGGTCACCTTACGCCCTGCAGGTCGGCTGCTCGAGGACCCTCAAGGTCTGATTAACGGGGTGGGTGGGGGGGGTCTACGCTAGCGTGGAATGCTAACCCAACGGCCGTGTTTGGGAAACTGAAAGAAAAAGCCGATCATCCCCGATAAGAGAGAAACATCTACGCAACCATAAAATGATTTACATGTGTGTGCGCGTGTAAAGGAAGTCTTATTCCAGTTGTACGGTCAGCGTCTAGGTATTGCCTCCAGTAATGTGGTCTACTTTGTTGTCACGATGCATCTGCTCTGCCTTTTTGTTCTGGTTGAGATAAATAACAGCTTAAAGGCAAGCTTAAATTAATCTCCCCCAAAATGGATCTCGTCGAGAGAGGGGAAGACGGTTTGCTGATGGAGCAGATGTGCTTTGCCGTGCTGATGATCGGGATCAGGGAGCCTTGAGGAGGGTTTGATTATCAGCTGACGGGTCCTGAAGTGTCTCTCTCGCCTCGTTACCGACAGCTCACTGGAGTGGAGGACGGTGGAGGGGCGCTTCAGCAACACAAGCGCGGTCAAAGTGGTAATTGTTGTTGTAATGAGACGCTGGCGCAGTGGATTAGCTCTCTTTAGGGAAAAGCAAACATTGGGCGATGATTAAGTCTCTTGCTCGTGTCTCCTCATTCGGAGGAAAACGGCACAATGCACAAACACAGAATGTGTTTGGCACACTGACAGGAAGCTTTGGCTTTGGGGCGATCAGGAGTGTAAAGACTTCTTATTATTGACTGGTATGGCAGCGATTTCTGCAATCAATCATTTAATTAAGACAATTATAGAGCTCATGGTGAGGTCATCAAGACAGGAAACCAAGGCGGCAACCCCAGCGTCTTTAAATTAAGCCGATGCAGAATCAACCTGCATACTTTCTAATTACCATCAGGTCTGTTTGAATAGATGTCTATGAAAAACTCCACTTGTCTCTTGATTTATTCCCTCAGTATACAATGTATGAGATTAGAGTTTGGATACCACCTTTCACATTGCGTTTTCGATCATAACATTTTGGCCAGCTAAAAACGCCCTAATCGGCGTCCGGTTGTACTGAGCTCCGCCCAAGATGGCGACAGCCCAACTGGAGGCTTAAAATAGGCATCTCATGAACTGAGATGTCCCCCTGGCTTTGCCCACTTCAAACACATCACGTGGGTCTTTTGTCCCACAAAACAGAGAATCCGGGGAAATGGATCCGTGAATGTGGTCAACCACTGGAGTCCTCAAGGCCACCAAATGGAGTATAGTGTCTTTAGCCGGTCTCGCCCCCCCAGAGTCCCATGTGGGAGATCCTTTTTTTTTTTATTGCACCTGGGATATATGTTAAGGGAACAATGAACTTTGACCTTGGGCTAGATCCCTCCAGCAGCGCAGAACAATGGTGGCGCTTAAAGGCTGCTGCTGTCCCTTTTAGCCTATAAAGGCTTGAATGTATTGCATTGAAAAGGACCCAGTTTGTGGGTTCTTGTAAAATCCCACCAGCACTTCCACTGATGCATCGGGGCCGTTAATGGAAGCCCTTCAGCTGTTGCTCTTATGAGTGGGGTCTGTCAGAACGGCGGATTTCCACACCTTTGTTTCATTAGGACCTTGTCGTTAAGCCGTTCTTTTATTAGCCGTATATCGGTATTTTTTCATTAGAGGAGCATCTCAAAGGCTTGCCTTCATTAGCACAAGGCTGTAAATGCTGGATGCCATTTCATTAGAGGTCTATCTTTAATGAGGAGAGCCGCAGCGTGTTTACGTTGCTCTGATTCCCCCCCCCCCCCCCCCCGAGACCCCAACGCCACGAGGGCTAATGCTGATGATGCTGATTGGCTTGTGAGTGGGAGGGGGGGCGTCTGAGCTCGTCCCCCAAAGATTTGATCATGCAGTTATAAAGCCAACGAGATCCTCGCTGCTGCTCGGAAGCGAAGAGCAGCATCACGATCAAACATTCGTGTTATCGAGGTACCGCTTAAGAACACGGGGCAGCGCCGTGCAGGGCCTAACCACGAGACGTGCAGCGCACAGCGGCAGACCATCAGTCACTTCAAGGCGCTGAAAGTGAAACTTACTTGCTGCGCTCACAGGAAAGGGCCGCGCCACGCGCTTCTGAAATCGCAATATGTTGTCGAGACTGTTGTCCAATGACTCATTTTGTAATTTGATCACTCTGAAAACGACCATTTTGTAGATCTGTGTGTTGACATTGAGATTTGGGAGAAAAAAGGGACGTTTCTTTTACTCAAAGTGACGTCTCGGGGGGGAACACCATATCTTTAGCATTGCTTCACTGCTGGCTTGCGGTGCTGGATTGCTATTTTATTGGAGGTTGGGGGTGGGTTGCTCTGTGTGATTGGTTTACTCTGGATTTTTTTTTTTTTGAAGTCCAGTGTGTCTGTGAGCCTGAACTCGCATGTTTAATGCCTTGATGTTCAGCGACACGGCTCCAAGCTCCGTACCATGTGTCATTGTTTGGCGTTCAACCCCCTTTGTGCACCCAGGAATGTAGCGTGTTCCTGGAGAATTGATTCTTAAAGGAAGGAGTGGGGGGCTGGCTGATTGCAATAGATGGAGAGGACCCTTTTTTTTTTTGCTCAATCTGCTGATTCTTCCAAAAACTACCGAAAAAAAAAAAACTACTGAAATCTACCTCATTCATTAATACAGAAAAATCTCCTTCAGCATTGGGATGCTCTAGAAGGAGGAATACTTATTTAAGGTTATTTTTTCCTCAAATCTCAGCGCTTCGAGGGGGGACCTCCGTTTTGTTCTGAGAAAAAAAAAACTATAATGACATACACTTTATGTGACACTTCACGGTCAGTTGTGTGCATTGCTGTTTTATACTGTTGTACTTTTTGCTGAGACTCTGAACCATGCAATGCACAGGCAAATAGATACACTCACAGTACACATGTGTGGTGTATGTGAAGTGTATTTAAATACTGATTAAGAGGGGATGTGCAGGGGAGTGACCGGTAGAAAGTGGTCGGGCTCTGTTAATGAGCCTGACTGCCGATGGGAAGAAACTTTGAAATCTACACACTGCCTTCTGGGTTATGTTATAAGTCAACGTTACTTCTCCTTCGGCTGAACCACCAACATGATATTGTATTAGAGCTGAAACACAGATCAACCCAAATTTGGGCAGATTCTGCTGAAAGGATCTTAATTGGCTGATTGCACGTGAGCAAAGGGGAAGAACACGTGTTCATCGTGGTCTGCAGTGAACTAGTCCCTTAAGATTGACCACAAATGTTTTTCTAGTCACACTTGCAGTTCTCTTTTACAGATGTGGTAACAGCCACAGCTGTATTGTTGCTCATGTGCAAAAAGTGGTTCTGCTTTGATGAGTCCGTTTGAATCCGTTGTTTGGGGTGACCTGGTTCTGCACGGTCCAGACCTGCCCTGAATTGTCAGCGCCAGACTTCGTCCGCGATGCCAATTTAAAGGTTTGAAGAAAACACACACACACACACACACAGTTAAACCTCATCATCTTCTTCCGGTGTGCACATAACTGTGCGGACACACTAGCCCAACCGTATGAGCAGAACGCATCAGCATCCCGGACAGCTTATCATGGGGAACTAATTCAATATCCCTCCGCCTGTTTTTAAATGTCACTCTCTGAGCTCATCCGGAGCGACAGGTTTTTCATGATGGAAATAAAGGCGCTTTATCGGCCACAGAAGGCTGTGACAGGAGGAGGGGGAGAATCTAAAAGGTCCTCACTAAGAGCATATGATGCAGATGTGGCGGTATCAATAAGATCGGCGTCAGCCAGACGTTCGACAGCGATGGACCGAATCAGAAAGTGAAATGCCAGCCATATGCCACTTTTATGTCGACAACTTTCTGGTGACGGATGCTGTTATTTAGGAGATATTCTAGCAAAAAACGTCTTCTACTGTAGGTTTATTTATTGCTCTTTCAGTGCGGATGAATGCCGGTCTGAAGAAGAGGGAGGGAGTAGAAAGGGTGCGGGGGGGGGGGTTGTACAGTCTACTCAGTCGCCTCATTGTGCCGGATAATGACTTCTCTATTGAAAATGAACTCTCTGTGACTCTCGGAGACAGACATTGAGACGGCGTCGTCGAGCCCCTCGAGGCACCCTCGGCCTGATCTGGCATTTCGCCGCTAACCTCGGTTCCCCTTCCTACTGAAGCCGGCCGTAACCGGTGTTCTGCTGGGGGGCTCAGTCTCCGCTCGCTGGAGCCCTGGCGAGGGGGGGTGAGGGGGGGGGCTGGGGCTCAGAGCGAGGGACAGCTGGCTACAGAACTGTAAATGTGAGAGGTCGGCCCAATGCTCTCAGGGGGCATGTGTTTTGGTCTTCACCGCTGAGAATCAAACAAAATCATTGTTTTTGTTGTCTTTACCTGCTACGATTTATTTTGCGGTTGTTTACGGTTGGTCTCGGCCCCCGCCTTGACTTCTCCGCCTTCTCATTTGTCCTGCCCGTCTTTCCTCACAGGGTTCCTGAAGCCCCAGTGCTCGTTGGCCCATCCCATGCAGCGAGGCCGCTCAGGCGAGGCTTGCTCCTGCTTCACTGGCATGTGCGCCCTCCATCAGCGCCGCCTGTCCTCAGGTAACACTCACTGAACACAGCCAAGCTGCGACCTGGCTGCTGAAAGTGCCTGGGTCAAATGTGGGGAGGGGGGAGTTGAGCTGAGCCTAGAATACAAATATATATTGAAATAAGTGGTCAAACAGGCGATTGCTTATTAGAACTCGAGTGCTTTGGAATTAGTTTGGCCTCTTGTTCTGTTTTTGAGAGTCCTGGAGGTCCATCGGTCCCTTCTGCTTTGCTCGGTATCAATAATTTTTACCCTACTGGAAGTGCTCTCAGTTCCATCTGTGCAACTAAGCACGCTGCTCCTTGAAGCAGTTCACTGTCTTTTTAATACGGTAAAAGCAAACATATAATAAATGTTCTGTTGGTCCTCAGGTGGTCACGTTCTCCCAACAAGGTCACACGAGAGAAAACATTTCAAATGATAATCAAAAGCCCTGAAAATGATGAAAGCTATTTTTGAGTGTGTTATTCCTTTTAAGGACGGCCAACACAAGGGCATAAAGAAATCTAAGGTTCTCTTGTCTAATTTCTAATCTCTAAAACAGTAAATATTACTAAAATCTGTGCAATTTGAATCCGATAAACAATGAGATCTTCTTTCTCGACATCAAAATGGCCTTTAGTTCTTTCTGGCATCAAATTCACTCCAGTCTCTCGGCCAATAGGCTGTTAGAAAGAAGGAACAAATTATGCAATCAAATTTACTACGATCAAATCCATTACTACAAACATTTCCTAATCTTTTTTATCAAAGTTTTGCCTTCAACAGTCAGAGCGTCCTTAATAACAGGAACATGAGTAGACGGCTATAATTGTATATTTGTCACCCAGTCAGTGTGCGCCTGCTTGTTGCACCGTTGTGTAACTGGAAAGGGAGAGCTCATCTCCAGAGAACCAACATGTATAAAGAAAAGGCCCCGTGGTGTATTTGTCCTGAGCTGAGAACAAACTAGACAATGTCAAACATCTTCTTCTCCTCCCGACGTGTTTCAGCAGGACCGCGCAGCCCCCCCCCCTCCCACGTCTGTCCGTCTTTTGTGTGTGTACTTTACTGAGCCGTCCTGATTGATTGCAGAATTTTTCACTGTCACAGCCTGCAGTGAGGGTGGATGCGTTTCCTGAACAATTAGGAGCATCTGGATGAGGAGTGTGGTCTGGCCCAAAGTATGTTGAAAGTTTCCCCTCTTTTGTGTTGTGGCTATTTTAGGAGCCGCGACGCAACGGGTTACAAATCGCATCACGTTATTTTGTCTACCTTCCGTCCAGGGGCAGATAGAGGAGGAGTGAAAGTGTCGAAAAAGAAAAGATTTTGGAGGTTAATGCACGTGGCGATGAGGAGCCAGGAGCAGAGTGCGCTTCTGGAGTAAAAGGATTAGCTGTTAAGTCCCGGCAGCGGAGGCTCGGCGGTCTAAAGTTTACCGAGCCTGTAATAACCCTGGCGTCTAATTATGGAACGTGCTGCTATAACTCCACCAGTGTCCCCCACATCGTGCCATTTGTCCTCCAGTCCGCCGGGCAGCGGGCCGCAATGACACAGGGGCAGAGGAAGGGGGGGGGCGCGCACGGTGGAGAGATTTTCTGAGAAAAGGCTTGCGAGCCTCGCCCTGGGGAACCGTACCCGGCCGCGATCTGCAGGACTCCAGGCCGAGCACTGATGTGGGCCGGCTCCGGTTTTGGCGGTTTTACATTGTTTGCGCTTTAAAAAAAAAAAAGTTTTCCTGGAACGAGACTGTGAGAAACGCAGTCCCGTTCCAGGGAACTTGCTTTTTTTCATTTAAAGAAAACAATAATTGTGTTTTCTTTTTCTTTAATAGAGAATAAGAAGTCCTGAAAGAAAAAGAAAAAAGTTCTTTATTTTTATTTTTTTTCTTTCTATTTTTTGGGGAATTGTGGTGTGTGAGGTGAAAGAGTATAAGGGGAGGGGGGGGGCATTAAAGGAGAGACGGCATTGAAAAAAGGTTTCTCACAATGCGGGCCTTGTGCTGTGATTCGGTCTGTCTTCGACGAGCTGAGCGGAGGAATGGAAAAGATTAGCCGCTGGAATGTCTGGGGTGCCCTCAAACGGAGCGGGGGCCGCGTGGCTGGCCAATGGGAGCCAGGGCCTGCAGAGCAGCGGGCTAATTTTTTCCTGATGAACTCAGCCGCCTGCTCCACAATGCAGTCTGATTGCCGGGGTTGAACCCACATATGGTCTGTGTTTGGAGGGTCCAAATGACAGAACCTATTCTGCCTCGGGGAGAAAAAGGGGGTGGGGGTGTTGGACGCAGATGATTATTACTGGCTCCCCATTTATATATTTCTTCTTTTTTTTAAATTGGGCTTAGATATGGCGGTGTGCCGGAAACGTCCACCACCTGCTTAGATTAACCCGACCAGGTGTGCCGTTACTGTTGGATTCTTTGGTCTTCGTTGATGACGTGTTATTCGCATAAATATAACTTTTGCCCAAAGCCACTTTAGTGTTTGCGGCTGGTCCCACTTCATTACAGCGCCTCACAATTATCTCACTGCCTCGCGAAAGCCGGCAATTAATTTGGATCCCATTTACTATTGAGAGTACTTGGAAAGTAGCTGCTTCACCTAGAACTGGGCCAGAGTAAACTACAGGGAAATGCAAGGGCCCCAGAATGTGTGTGTGTGTGTGTGTGTGTGTGTGTGTGTGTGTGTGTGTGTGTGTGTCCATGGTCATTGTTTTTTTTTTTCTTCTTCTCTGTGTGCCGCTCTTTAGCATTAGCGAGGCAGTAAAAAAGCCATGTGGTGGAACTGTGGAGAGCGGCAGCATGTGTTTTGTAGACCTTGTGGTCACACAGCAGGGTCTGGGGCGAGGGGCTGGGATGGGGAGACGAAGTGGGCTAAAGAGAGCCTTGGAAGCGGGCGTGTGGGGGCGTGTGGGGGGGAGTAGTCAAAGTGGCTCGCGGCTCCTCATATTTCCCACCGTGGGGTCCTGCAGAGGTGAGGAGGGTCACAGAGAGGGAGCTCGTTAGCCCCGGCCTGCTCTGCGCGCTAATTGGCTGGCCGGAGTCGCCGCACTCGCCGGCTGCTTCCTGTTAGGGTCAGGAGCCATGAGGGGCCGATTATGAGCCCTGGCCCCCATTCATCCAGGACGCACACTACGGGTTATTTGACATATACAACCTCTAACTTCCCTGACTCATCTTAAGCAACAACCAGCTAATCTCAGCATTGAGAGGTTTTAATGATGGCGGCCGGGGGAGTTTCTGTCCGCCAGAGGACTGGTGTCTGTCATAACTGCGATAAGAGCTGCCAAACTGTTCAGTTAATTGGCTGTTAGCTCATCAGATACTGTGGGATGTATTGGTTGTAGTTTACCCAGATATACAAACATTCTGTTTGACAACCCAGAAGTATAATCCCATGAATGATATGATCATTGCTGGTGTCATACGTAAACATGGACACAATGTTAGCCAGCTAACATCCGGCCTGATTAATATCACTCCCTTGAGCATTTTTCCAGCGTAATTCTTAAACTACATATTGTCGGATGGTAGAAAATCATTTCATCGCATTTTCCCAACATCAAGAATTGAAGCAAACATTTATCTTAATTTAAACTTAAATGTCACAACTCTTTGGTTTACATGTTTGAAGCAATATATCATACTTTCTAGTATGATTTCTAGTTGTTGCTTAAGCAGAGAGCTACTGTGATTGCTTGTTTTTCTCAGTGCTTCTGTGTGCAGCGTGATATAAACAGCACAGACGTTGACGTTTTTTCTTCCACCTGACGAGGTCTACTCTTAGCTCTGTTGTTGGACATCACTGTCTCCTGAGGGAACGACGGTGCTAAAAGGCTCCACTACCTTCACCACTTGGTCTCTCAGGCTTTGCCCGTGTCTTTTGGTGCCAGAAGGAATCACACGGCGGGCTTGGCTGAGCTTCTCTGTGATATTCTGGGAATCAAAATGACAAACTGAAAGACGCTTTTCTGGTTTCCAAACTGATCCGTTGCTGTAATAATAGTAAGTAGTAACTTTGATTGACTTAACAAGAAGTTCTCATTTGTCCAACAATGAAAGTTTCACAATTCCGTCATTCCTATTTATCTTTGTACTCTTACATGAAAAACACCATTCCCTTTATCTAATAGGGCCTCACTAAATATCCATTACACCTGTCCATCATGTCTGCCACTGGGATCCCCCCTAAAGCGACGTGGCCCCTGGTGGCCCGCTGCCACAGCAGCAGCAGGGATGGAGGTCTCTGCGCTGGCACAGAGCGATGGCAGCCGTCCACGGCGGGTCACCAGAAATCAGAGCGACTAAGCCTTTGATAACTCTCTGAGCCGATAATCCCCGCAGCAGCACCATCACAGTGAAATGCTATCTCATTGTTACAGCTCCAACTGGGCCGGAGAGCCGGGGACGCCAGGGGACAGGCAGGAAGTGGCCGTCATCTCTGCGGGGTCATTCAGGGTGGTACAGTTCAGGGTTAACAGACTTTTTTTGAATTTAAGTTGATTCATGCCAGCGCAAGGAAAGCAACAATTAAATGTAAACGCTCAGGAGTACAGCATAATTTAATGCTTAATGAATTCGTGAGCGGAATACAAATGCACCCATTGTTTTGCCTCTTCAAATCAGAAAGGGTTTTCAAGCAGAAAAACAGTTGTTTTTTTAAAATTGGTTTTCAGTCGCATCCTGTTATATTTAGCACGTTGGTAATGTATTCTCTCCGAGGCAGTGCACGCAGATGAGGTGAAACTTCTCTGTGCCACAGATTCCAGCTCCCACTGGAGTTGATCCTGACCCCTCGAGTGAGGTTTACAGTGCAGCGCCTACTGGAAGAGGAGAGAGAGAGAGAGAGAGAAAAAACAGCAAAGAAAAGAAACGAAACCCTGCATTTTTTATTGCCATCAATTAAACATGAATAAGCAAGTTCTCATTCTTGGGCCCCATGTCGCCTAACACGGAACAGTATGTTAATCACAATGAAGCGGACCTGGTGTGCCGCTGAAACACATGGGCAAATTAACGAATGCCATGAATATA